GCAGAAAACGCGCAAAATCGGTAGATCTTCAATAAGATGCAAAGTTTCTGGGAGAGAGTAAACGGTAATATATAATTATACTTTATTTTCAAAAAACGAACTTTTCCCCAGGTAGTCTAACCCAGAGCGGAGAAGAACAATCAAGTGGGAGTCATTTGCATATTAAAAACTATACACCGGTGAATACCAGAACATGAAGTCAATTCCAAAAAAGTAAAACAATGGTGCGGTGCGTTAATGGGGAATGCGCTAATACAAGTTGAAGCGCACTACAGTTCTTTCTTCTTCGGAGAGCCCTTGCGGTCGTAACTAGTCAGCTCATCAGTTGCATGCGCAGCAACGTATTCCAACATGGCCTCCGTTGTTCGATCACCCTAACATCAAAGAGTTAGTAGTTTAGCATAACATTACCTGGTACTGGACAGGCTTGCCTTTCGACGTCCTAGGAACCCAGTAGATGGTCGGAAAGCCAGTTACTGGGAAAAGTGGAGACACTGTGTTAGCGGTTGCATCCATGGCAGCTATTACAATTTTCTTCTCAGACGACAACTTCTCTGCCAATTTATCGTAGTTCGGTTTGAGCTGTTTACAGTGACCACACCAGGGCGCGTAGAACTCAACCAGAACGTCTACATTTGGATCAAGTACGACTTCATCGAAGTTTTTCGCGACCACCTTGGTGACGTGGCCATCTTTCTCTGTAGGTATCGGCTCAGATTTAAGATAGGGCTCCAACGACCCAGTGGAGAATTTCTTGACGAACTGTTTGACGGCGTCCACGCTGAAGAGAAAGTGATGTGTCTTAACAGAAAATTACCTGAAATCTCCATCCATAAGAAAATGTTGACCCTTCTCGTTAGTGATGGTGACAAGAGGGGACTTCCGCTTGTCGATATCCGTTATTCCAAATTCGGACATTTCCTGGTAGAAAGCCGAGGGATCGCTGACGGCAAATCTCATTTTAGGCTCGCTTTGCTGGGCCGCCTTGACTATACGATTATGCCAGTAGCGGAAAGTAGCTGGATCGCGTTGCAGATCGATCTTGGTATAAACGATGACCATTGGGAGTTTGGACATGTACTTTGCAGTTTCAGTATCTCTCACTCCAGCAACGCCAAACCTAAGGAATAATAGACCTATAAGCGGGTGCATACGCGTTCTCTTCGATCCAAGACTTGAGAGCATCGAGCTTTAATTGTCCGTCATAAACCAGAACATCTTTTTCGAGTTTTGAACGGTATTGTTTCGGTGTGCGTAACTGCAACACGCTAAGAAGTTGAAATGGTTGAGTTTAAAAGAGGAGTGACTGTACATGTCTTTGGCACCATCCAAGATTTTCTTACTGGTGTACATGAACGTAGCCATGCGCCGAAGCTCCTTAGCACACTTATGAAATTCATCCGCAAAAGCCGAATCCCCAGCCAGTTGTGCCGTAACGACAGGTCGGTTGATGGGCAGATCCTCCAACTCGGCTAGTGATGTAAATTCAGTCGAGGGCGGGCGAGCCATGGTAATCATATAATTAACAATGTCATCTAGAAAAGATTATGCGGTGGACAAACGGATATACCTTCAGTTCGTCCCTCTTCGTAGTTCTCCGGAGTGGCAAGATTCCCTTTTTGGAATACTTTCAATGTCGGATAGCCTTGAACTCCAAAGCGATCACACAACTCCTTATCGGTTGTGCAGTCAACCTC